CTCAGTTGATGAGTGGATAATGAAAATGTGGTTCATTTATACGATGGAGTTTTACTCAGCAGTAAAGAAAGATGAAATTGTGAAATTTGCAGATAAATGGATGGAACTAGAAACTGTTATACTAAATGAAGTAACAGACTCAGAAAAAAAAATTGACATGTTCTCCCTCATATGTGGATCCTAGAACAAGACTCTGATAAATAAGCATGCAACCAGACATAACTACAGGAACCAGGATAATGGAAAGGAATCAGGGAGGTAAAGGAAAAGAAAGAACCTGAAAGAGAAGGGCAGTAGGAAACAGGCCTTAATAGGGGAGATACGGATAAAAATTGGGTTAGTTTAAGGGAAGGGGGAAGGAAGGGCATACAAGGAACCTAGGGGGTAAAGGGAAAGAAGGAGCTCAAGAGAGGTAGGATCATAGGAGAAGGGTATTAAGGGAGAAAGGGGGGAAATGGGGGCAACTTAAGAGGGAAAACCAAGATGGAGGGGTGAGACAATGCGAGAGATAAACAATGCCTGGTTAGTTTTGAAAACCAGAGAGAACCATATTACTCCTACAACCTACTGACAAATTATACATAGCAGATCAAGAAATATATGTCTAGGTAAGGTTTATCTGAGAACAACTGGTCTTTGCCCAAAATTTATCTGGTAATTAAAAATACCAGACTGGTGGAACTAACCTTCTTGGGTTTTTAACAGACATACTTTGAGGTCTATAATAATTTGGTCAGAGGGACATAAAGGACAGTTTTTGCTCCTTGCCCTCCTAGGTCGACTAGTTCCAGGGGACTATGAGCATCTCTCAAAATATCCTAAAATCGTGGTGGGTCACCTGTCCTCTTGATCAAGGAGGCTGAGGAGACCCCACCCGATGGACTTGAACCAGTGATCAGTCTCCAAAGAGGGTCAACACAGAGGAATCATTTCCTCCATGCTTCCAATCGAAGCCAACCATGGTTGAGCAGGACCTTTGACTTATAATCACATAGGTGAAACTGGTAAAAGAAAGGAGCCAGGGGATCCTCCCAAGCCCATATGACCTTGCGGAACAGATCCTCAAATGACCTTAAGAGTAAAAATAAATCGGTTTATCTAGACCAACTGTATGGCCTTAAACACCCAAAAGGAAAGTGTAACCAAAGATTAAATGGGCTAACATAACTTCATAAGAGTCCATATGTATAGCTAAAGGCTACATAACAAGCAACAATGCCAGACAAGCAATACCTTCTTTTGGTTTGATGGCCAGGGTAGCCAAAGATTCCCAGAGAGTAACCCAGCACAGAACTGGGAAAATAAACAGCAGACTCCAATCTTATCCAAAGGAATATAGACAACTGATTACTGCTAGATGAGGAACAGCTGACCTTCCTAAAACAAAGACCTCTAGATAGGCTGACTAGATTCACCGGAAGGGCAAGTAGTGGGAAATGGCTGGGGGTGGCGACAACACATCAGACGGTAGCAGGGATATCAGAGTATAAGGGCTCTAGTAGGGGGAGGGAGGCTATGGGAGAGTGCTACATGGGAAGTGGGCATATAAATAAATAAAAAAAAATAATTCTTCAAAGCATAAAAATTTGCTCCTTAATAATTAGTAGATGTGAAAAACATTACCATTGAAATATACCTGATGTCTTTATATCCATGCTCAGATGCAAAGGAGCTGAGAAAGTAACTGACTGTGACTAGTAATAATCAGATATATAGAGATTAGAAATGCATGTGCATCTTAGTGTCAA